CTGAGCGAATAAATCGGCCCTCGCTTTCGTGAAGCTTTTTACAGCTTTTTACAGGCCGCCGCGAGCACGCGCGCGGCGGAGTCGGTCCGCGAATAATTTCAGGAGAGAGTTATCGGGCTTTAGGGGCGAATTCCGAGCCCGGCGAATCGCGCGCGCGCGCTATTTCGCGAAATTTCGTCAGAGCGCGTGTCCGGCTATCGGTCGTTGTTTCTAACGAGGCATCGACACAGCCATATCGCGGCGGCTCTCTCGCATTCCGCATTGTGGAATGGCGATGACAACGGCCGGCGGTGGCGGTGACGACGACACCCGCCCGGCCGCCGCTGCGCCTCGCCGTCTCGTTAATAACGGGCCTCTCTCCGTTGTGATGAAACGGCCGCAATAATTGCTGCCACTCCATCGAAACGATCCGCTCCAACGGCCGGAGCATGCGCGAGGTCGCGGCCATTGGGATTAATTCGATTTTTGGTTAATGGCCGTTCCAGGCGGAACACGAGCCCGCACGAGGCCCGGGAAGCAGCCCCCGGGATCTCGCGATATGCTGGCGCGCGATTATTATGCGGGATGTTTAATCGACGACAGGGAGCGCCCAGCGACGCGCGACGTCGAGCGAAAATTGCGACGAAGAGCCGATGTGAAGTCTCCCTCGGCGAAATGTACTCGTGACCGCCGAAGCTGCGCCCGGTCTTTGCCGGATCCAATTGACGATTATTCAATTCAATTGACAATCTCCTTCCATCTCACGCCTCGTCATTTCTCGATCCTCGATTCTACTCATCGGAAGTACGAACGTTGTGTGAAAAATAAGCGACATTTTATTGATTTCAGATCGTCTTTATATAACATCCAGGATCTTATACTTAACTTCATCCTCCCTCCGGGATACGAAACGGCGGATGCGCGATCGCGACTCGAGCGCTGAACTTGAAAGCGCTCGGCGTCGCGAGCGAGTTCGCAAAGCGCGGCCGAAGAACGCGAGGAGTCTGGAGAACCCTCGTCGAGAGTTTCTCCGCGGCCTTCCTTAAGTCTCCTCGAGCCTCGAGATTCGTAAGAAGACCCGAGCGACCGAGGGGAGGATCGAAACTCCTCTCTCTCTCTCTCTCTCTCTCTCTCTCTCTCTCTGGTAGTGTAGTGAGTGTCGGTGTTTCTTTCTGCGCGATTTAATTCCCCGAAGGCCGGGCCAACAACACCGCACGCAGCAACACGCGCACCTTTGTTTACCGATGGCGAATATTCTCTCTCCTCGGTAAGGGAGAAAAATTGCGCAGCCAGCTCGGAGGGAGTCCAGCTCTCGCCGCGCCGAGATCTTGCGCGGACGGCGCGTCGCGAATCACGCGCGAGCGAATATAATATACGACAACGCGACAATCATACGCGGGAATACGTGTAAATGGAAATGATACGCGTGACAGACATTCTTTGCCAAAGTTCGACGCTCTCAATCGGCAAGGACACCCCCCGTGGATGCGCTATTTTCAGCGATACCTCGCGGCCACGGCGCTCTCGCGGAGAACGTGTTGCGAAGTCGAAGAAGGAAGTCGGGGACGGGGACGGGGACGGGGACGGGAACGGGGGTGGTATGTAACCCAGGCACGGCTTCGCGGGAAATGGTCCGTGAGCCTCGAGCGCCGCGTACCTCGCAAGCACGGCTTACCTACACTTGCGCGCGCACGACGAGCGATAGCTCGCGTATACCCCGCATCGACCACCACGTACACAAGCAGCAATTTCGCCTCCCCCTCCGTCTCGCGCGCGAGTCGCGATATTTGCGATACGAGCTTGCGTCCTTGCGTCCCGCGGAGCCGAAAAATATCTCGCTCGCAACGGGCGGTTTTTGCATGAAAGAGGCCGGCCGGCCACCCCGGCGGCTCGAGAGATTGCTTTGCGGCTTTGCGGCCGGGTTTTGCTTTGATTGGGCGCGCTCTCGAATAAGAAGTGGCCGTGCCGCGACTTTTAACTACGTCGTCGCGCGCGCGAGAGAGAGCATCTCGCAATTTCGGTGACTAATGTTAACGGACGCTGTTCGCTCACGACTTCAATGGATTCGCAGCTCTCTCAGGTAAACGCCGATGGAATATCCGAGGAGAGCGAAATTACGCAGGCGGAATTAATGGCCGGGTTTTAAGATCTGGATACCCTCTCACCGTGAGTGCTCGATGGCCGGTGGAGGGAGAGGGCGGGAGGAGACAGGGGGAGAGAGGAAGATACAGTGGAAGAATCAAGCTCTTCGAGTGACCGGTACCAAAGAAAGGCGGTGACTCTCTCGAGCGAAGAGGTCCTTCTTGTTCGAGCGGCGGCGCGTCTCCCGAGAGGAGAGAGAGCTATAATAACGTCGTTCTTAAAGGATGCATTTACTCGGATAATACTGCAAAGGGAGCAACCCGGCGAGCAAGGTGAGGAGTAACGAAGCGGCACAATGTAAAAAACGACGAGAGAGAAAAAAGAACCCGGTCACTCGTTCCGCTTTGCGGAAATACGCGGCGGCGTGTCTCGGATCGATCGCGCTTCTCCTCGCGATTAGATGCTTTCCGCGCGACTCAAAGTTCATTGAGATCACCGTGTGACGAAGCGAATGAGTGAGCGAGCGAGCGAGCCGCCTTTCGCCTTCAAAGTGTGCCTCCTTGTTCTCAAAAGCCTATTTAATAATAGCATTCACTTAATAAATGGCAATTTGCGCATTTATAATTCGCAGTGTTCGTCCATTCGTGGCATTCATCCTCTCGCTAATGTTTCGTCTCGATTAGTGAATTCGACATTTGGAAATTTTGTCTTGCGAGAATTCCTGATACTCGGAGGGTGCGCGTAAGATTGCGAAAATTTTGAAAATGATTAAATTAAATTCGACGAAACGTCCTAATCACGTTTGGCAAACTGTGGGAAATCGCGAGCGGTTCATTTAAAAATATTGCTGCTTTCGTCGCTGCTTCTCCGTTTCAACTTCGCGAAATTTATTCGCGCGGAATCCACTTGCGGAAGAAAGCGCGAGTGATCGTAGAAGCTCCATATACCCGGAAGCGTACCGTAAATACTGAGACGGCAGAAGCATGTCTCTGTGTATCGATCGAAAGTCCTTTCAAAGGCTCCCGTCCGAGTAGCAACCGGAAGCATGATAAACCGTTCGTCACGAGCGTCTTCCTTCCTCGCGAGCGTCTTAATGGCTGTGTACTCGAACGTGCTTTCCCTGCTAAAACGGCTCGGAACGAAGCACGAAGCGGCTGAACGAATAAGAGGATCGATCGCGAAACGTTATTAAATGAGGAAGATGTTGATCCTTGCAGCGAATAAGGAAACGCCATCCATTGCCATCGTTTCGAGCAGTTCGGCTGGTTGTCGCTTAATGACAACCTCTTACTCGACTCAGCCTTGGAGCTTGGCGGAATTTAAGCGTCATGGCTCGTTATCGCGCACGATTTTCCGCGAGCTTCCTCGCGAATATCAAATTATCTCCCGGAGCCGGCCGTAATGGCGTAATGGCGAAAAAAGCCCACGGTTACATTTCGCAATTCCCTTCCTTGAAATCTCACGAGTGCCGCGCGCCGCTCCTGCGAAGAAACGGCGACGAGGGGGAACAAGCCGAGCGATCGGAAAGCACGCCGTTTCGTTAGCCGAAACTTTTCCCGGCGCCACCACCACCTGCCGCCAACATCGCGCGGAACTTGCATAATGCCCTCCTCCTCCTCCGCTATGTCGGGGATAATCGCGATAAAAGGAAGCCTTAGATATCGCGCAATGGGGCCTCGAAAAATTCCGCCTGCGTCCACGCTCTCCGTGTACTTACGTCGCGGCCGTATTTCCTAACTATTTCAATTTTCCGCTCGTCGTGCTCCTTCGTGCGCGGCTCGAAAGCTCGCATGATATTACGACCGGAGCCAGAGACGGGCAGGAGGAGACAAGAAGAAGAAGAAGAAGAGAGAGAGAGACCTTGCTGCACCTTGTGTGTGCACGCGAAGCGCAGGATCCTTCGGCCGCAGTCGTCGTTGCTCGATATCTCGCACGTTTCCCTCGCCTCTCTCTCTCTCGCTGCCGCGGCGGCCGTTTTCTTCCTGCTTCCGCACGTTACGTAACCGAGCGCGACACGTGAGGCACAGACAGCCGCAGAGCACACGCGCGATCGCACGAGCGTACGCTGCTGCTGCTGCTGCTGCGTGGGTGCGTGCGTTGCGTGGATGTTCTGCTGGTGTGTGGACGCGCGAAGTGTACGCGCGCGTGCACGATTTGTCACGGTTCCCTGCCGATGCATGCAAATCCTGTCTCCGAACTTAGTAAGTGCATGCGCAAGTGTATTACGAGCGAGGACTTGGCGCAGGGGTGGCGCAGGCGAAGGGGGAAGGGGGCGATAAATTGTGGATCGAGTGGTGGAACTGTTACGAGACCGCGCAGACGTCTGCGAAATTGTGGCTGCCACGATATTGACACTTCCGCACCGACGCCTAATGTCCCATGAAAATCTCGTTAGCCATGGAATTATCGACAACGTCGCGCGATTATTCAAGATTACACGGCGCGGTAATTACCGTGGATTTACAGGGGGGCATTCCGGATGACGGTTCTGTCTTACCGCGCGGGCGTCTTATCGTGTCGGCGACTGCTTAAACCTGTGGTTTAACCTCGCGACAGGTTTGTTTGTTTGCCGGTTTGAACAAGTCGGAAAAATCGAGCGTCTCTCTCCGCGCTTTTGTTTTCTCACGCTCGACGCTCGCTGAAACTCCGCTTGTAGCTCGCTAGACGCGAGATAGAATAATACTCGGGTAATTCTTCACACACACACACACACACACACACACACACACACACACACACACACACACACGCACATACACAAACACGGTTACGGTCGGATTGTCAACAATTCCTGAGACATTCGGAGATCACACGTCAAATATTCCGTCAGTGGCCTTCGATCGGTCAGCGAGTAAACGTTCGCGCAGAATCCAAATCAACGCGGAATCCTATTATACCCGTTAAAGCGCGGCGAGTTCTATCGAGTATTTCTACATAAAATGCAGTCGCTGTTCTGGCATGGTCCTAACCTTAATCCAATAGATGATGAGGACCCAACGACAGGAGTGATAAAATACGAAGGAGAATATTTGCCGAAATATTATAATCAATTTTTCAATCCGAACATTTGCCACGTTTGCAAGTCAGTGATAGACCACGGCAAGTTGCTACAGTGCGAGGAGTGTCACATAATTTCTTACTGCGATGAGAACCACAAAAATATACATCATACGCAACACAATAGCATATGTAAGCTTATAAAGGAGCTTGTAGTGAAGCTTGTGAACGAAAAAAAAATCTCGAAATCCTACGCCTTCTTGGGCGACTGGATAAGAGACAAAAAAATGTTTAAAACGGAGATCAAGAGGAAGATATCCCGCAAACTGATGCCGTATGAGAATCAGATGTTTATGTCCATAAAATCATGCTTGATCTGTCACGGACGGGTAGGACTGTCGGCCTGCGAAAACTGCTACTCCGTCAACTATTGCACAAGGCACTCGCTAGCCTTCAAGGACACACACGATAAGTTCATTTGCAAAAAATTCACGCTGTCGCTCAACGTAAATATTGCAGCTCTGACAGACCGCCCAACCGAACTAATACGAGACTTCATTGCGTTCCTCGATAAGAAGCCTCGTTTATTAGACACATTCAGATTAATTATGACATTTTTGTGGTCGAGCAGAACACAACTCAACTGGTCTATCGCGGACTATGTTCTTTCTGATTATCTGTCAGGGCCGTTAACGATCTACTATGGAATAACAAGGACAGATTCACCACATATTATAGATAAACAAAGTAATTTTAATATTCATATCATATGCACAAACTCCATAAATAATAACAGCCTGGCGGCTTGGGAAGTGTTACTGCACCTCTTCCACGACGTGGACACATTAGTGATCACTATAATAGGCCAAGGAATAATTCCTAACGAGTATAAATATGAAATTTGTGAGCTTTGCAAAAGTAAAAACAAGAAGCTCTCTGTCATTTTTATATGCCACACGTACCATTCTTATATTAATAGCTCCAAATATACACGACCAAATATAATCGCAGGATTTCAACTATCCCTAAATTTGAAGCCTACATGGTTTCAAACTGTAAAAGCAATAGAGACTCAATACTGTCCGTTATTTTTAACTAGTCCCAACCTATTTAAAGGGCAAGACACTATACGTAAGATACGAATTATTCTGAATAAAAATATAAACCCTGATCTTGAATTAAAAAATGAATTCCACTCTCATGCTCCGTCCAAAGATTACGAGACCGATTATATTAATTATTCCAACAAGTATTTAATTATTTACAAGGATTTATCAAAAGTTAACAATATATGCAAACGTTATCCCGGCTATTACAAATGATATGTTAAGATATATGAATGTGTTATTACTTTTGATGTTATTCTAAAAGATATCTTACTTTTACGAATGAACCGTGCTATTACAAATAATATATCAAGATATATACGATTGTGTTATTACTTTTAACGCTATTCCAAAAAATATTTTATTTTTACTTTTAATGAACTGTGCCGATTTTTAATAAATGTTATTCCTTTTAAATGCAGTTTTATTGCTTTTTATTGACAAACTATACTTTTTATTGAACAACTATGAATAGATATCTTCCTTGTCAAATCTGCTCGCAATATTCTGCTTGCTAACGGATATTGCTGTTTCGTTAGACATTTAAACGCAAATCACAACATCAACAGTCCCCAACAGTCGGTATTATGATCAGAACAGCGGTATTTATCATTTCTTCTTGATTCAAAACAACCTTCCATTATTAAAAGTATAAAATCCTGATAAAATTCTAAAACAACTTTTCCTCTTGCAAAATTTTGGCAAAAGCTTAGATTTTAAATTATTAAAAAAAGTAGTAGACCTATTGCGGGTCGGGTACGGGAGGTAGACAGGTACGGCGCAACTCACCGTCAGACGTGGGCGCTAACGCGGAGTACCCGCAGCAATCAGCTGATCACACTACACATGTTATACACTAGCTACGTTTCAATATTCATTGCCAGCATAAAAATCTGTATTTTCTGTGACGTTAGGCGATTGTTATAACGGGCAAAAATTTTGGAGAACAGCCAGGATTGTACGCGCGTACACACACGTAAGCACGTTCTCGGTCTCTCCGAGTCTGTTTTCCAAAATTTTTGCCCGTTATAACAATCACCTAACGTCACAGAAAATACAGATTTTTACGCTGGCAATGAATATCAGAACGTAGCTAGTGTATAACATGTGTAGTGTGATCAGCTGATTGCTGCGGGTACTCCGCGTTAGCGCCCACGTCTGACGGTGAGTTGCGCCGCACCTGTCTACCTCCCGTACCCGATCCGCAATAGGTCTACTACTATTTTTAATAATTTAAAATCTAAGCTTTTGCCAAAATTTTGCAAGAGGAAAAGTTGTTTTAGAATTTTATCAGGATTTTATACTTTTAATAATGGAAGGTTGTTTTGAATCACCCTGTATAACAAGGTATAATAGAACGTGAAAAGTGAAAACTAAACACGAACGTTACATTCTAGAATAGGTCCAATGAATTTATTGGATTATGGTGGCGGAGAAGCGGCGAACGCTTTGTCGTTCGTATCGCGGAGAGTCAGCGCGAGCCGAGAAAAATTTGGGCCAAAGACAGAGAAATCTCGACTTTCTGATTTCCTGCAGCAGCGTGGACGACGAAACGAAACTTGACGTAGACGCAGCTCGCACGTATGGAAACGGTAAGACGCGTACTACCGCCTTGACAGACTTTCCATTTTGCGGAAACTTAACGAGGACGACGGTAAACGCTGGTCGACTTAAGATCGCGCGCGCCGATGAGGATCGCGCGCGAGTCACTTTGGAAACTTTTCATATCTGATTTGGGACCTACTTTACTTTTATACGTCTGCAACCCGCCTTTGGTAAAGTGGATACTCCGGTGCGTCACGCGACGCCGGCGGAAGCGAATGAAGGGGTAATACCGTAGACACGCGGCCAAGTTATCCGCAATGCGTATCGAGCTCGCGGTGAGTTGTCGTTTTTTATTAACAGCGTTAAAACACACACTCTCTCTCTCTCTCTCTCTCTCTGCGGATCGTCGCGGACAAAGAGACATTCTCCGGGTCGATGGCACCGTCGTCGTCTTTCAATTGACCGCCTTCGACGTCGCGCGAATGCTCCCTGTACCGTGAGGATGCCCGCTCCTCGGCGTTTTATGCGACTTTTCGAGCGAAGTAGGCCGCTTCAATGCGGGACGAGGAAGCGGGAGAATGTCAGGACGCTCGCAGCGAGCATAGTCTCGTTTTATCCGTACCGATATGCGACAGATATGCGCGAATTTATCGGCAAGCACGGTGCATCGCGAGTGCTCCTCGGTCGTCGTCGTGCCTTGGACGACGCGTCGATATCGTTAAACGGAACGTGTTCCACTGAAAAATCCGCGAACAGCCGCGAAGTTTAGCCGCGTGTTTAGCGCAACACGCGGCGCGTGCTCTCGGGCTTCCCCTTCGCGGGTTGAAACCGCCCGACGACGGCCGGCGCCGTAATAATTAGCTTTAAACGGCGCGACACAAAGCGTCGATTTGCATAAGCACAGACGCGCGCGCGCGCGCCACTTTAACCGTATCAGAGCCGGCTCGCGAAAAGTAATTTGCGCCGGTTAGTCAGAAATCCGATTTACATTTAACGCGAGACGGGAACTCCGCGGGCTCTCCCGTGGCCGGCTGACAATTAACGCGCGGTTCGGTCGGGGGGTGGAAAGCTCTCGCGGAAGATGGGATCGAGTCTTTTTGTCGGCAACTTCAGGTACTCTGTGTGAGTGTGTGTGTGTGTGTGTGTGTGTGTGTGTATGTATAAGCGAGGATCGAGGAATGAACACGGAGGAGTGCGAACAAACGGTTTCTGCGATGTACGAAAAAGAAGCTCGGTTCGTGCAACAGAATGGAGATGAGAGCGACAATTTGGCGACGAGAGAAACGACGATAGCGCCGTTATCGTGGCCGGAAACATTCGTCTGAATATTCAGCTGTATTAAAATCCGATGGAGATAACTGAGGGCTATTGACCGGACAGAAATCTCCTACAAGGATCTTCCTACAAGGTCTCACAAACGACTTTTCGTTTACGGACAACAGAAGATACGGCTGCGCTAACGCGAGGTTGTGTTCTCTCCTGAAACGTAACGCGGTATCATTCTCATCATACGACGTGTAACGATCCGTCCACATTAATCGGAAGCATCGCGTACAGTACCGCGATTATTGCTCTCTGTTTTCTTCTTCCACTCGCTTTATTTTTGTTTCTGTTTTCGTTGCGCTCGCTCGGTCGCTCGTTCTCTCTCTCTCTCTCTCTCTCTCTCTTTCTCTCTCTCTCTCTCTCTCTCTCTCTCTTCCTCGACCTGTTTGCGCGCGTGTTTTTGCGCGAAATATCGGTTTTGTTTCCTGCGATGCTGCTCTCTCGCGCACGCTACACGCATTCGATGGTAATCTATTCGCATATTAAATAAACTGCAAAAATGTGCGGCGCTTTACACGATAAGCGCATGCGTTACAGGAGACTGAGTCGTTTATTTCGAAAGCGATGTAAATCAAATTGCGAAAATCTTTCTGGAAATGGCTACACATCGCGTCAGTTCGTATATCGAATATCGGCGATCAGTAGCGTAGGTGTATTCTTTGGCAAATCTGCGATCAACATTTCCATCGCGGAAATATAAATATTATTTCGGGAAAAGGTAATTCGACGCGAAATCACGTAAACTGCGGTAAATTACGCATATTTTGCACGGGAATTTATATCGTTTCCAAAGGAATTCACTTTGGTCACCTCGGTTGTAGAAAAAACGGGAAATTTTAGCATTAGAGATCGCAAAAATCCCGCGAATTCCGAATGTTCCCGTCCTCGAATTTTCATCGAGGTCAAATCGTTGGCAAAAGATAGATTCACGCAATCGATTCTCACCTTTTCAAGTGCAAATTTCAGTAACATGTATAAATGGAGAACCGAATTGAAGTTAGAAACTCCCTGCCCCCTCCCCGCTCTCTCTCTCTCTCTCTCTCTCTCTCTCTCTCTCTCTCTCTCTCTCGCTCTCGCTCTCGCTCTCGCTCACGTTAAAGGAAGTATAGCGACTCAACACAGAAGAAACTACTTCTTAGGGAACAGAAGAGCTAGTGGAGGAAGTTGAAGAGAGTGGAAGTGAGTTAGTGAGGTAGTTTCTAATTTAAAATCCGATTCACCCTCCATTTCCATTCATTCGCCGTTACTATGCGTCCGAAATTTATGCGACCTCGATTAGTACTTAAACTCATAATGTTCCTAAATAGACATCTCCATTTGCGTCGAAATTTGCAGCACAGTCGGAGTCGGGGAATTAAGTATGTACAAGATACACATTGCCGCGAAAAAGCACAGCAAATTTGCCTCCCCCCCCCCCCACTCCAACTGCAAGAGTCGTTCGCTAGATCGCTTTCGCGAGTTTAAAAATTAGCACACAGCAAACAGAAGCGCCTGTAATTTTGCAAACACATCACCGACGCACCTCTCCCTTCGCTCGAATGAATCACTCGACTGTTGCTCGAAAAATTCTAAAGGGATGACTCTTCTTCCTCCTCTGAAGAAAAAAAGAGAGAGGGCAATTATAGGAGGAATAAAAATTGCATTTTATGAACCGGGTTGCGCTCAACTGCACTTCGCGAGGGCTTGAGTCGCGGAATGACGAACGAAGCGAGGAAGGTCGAAAATTAAGACACAAGATCGCGCCGGGAAATCGTAAGGCGTGCTTCCGCGCGATATTCGCGAACGATATCCCGCGTATTACGCGTAGCTCTCTTTCTCTCTCTCTCTCTCTCTCTCTTTCTCACTCTCGCAGAGATCCGTAATGCCGGATCGCGAGTTTTTGGCCGTAAAACGAAGATTGCGAGTCGCGTAATTTCGCGCGCTGGCGCTCGCTGTTTCCTCGGCAGGAAGTTCACCGATCGAGGTCGCCCGAGCGCAGCTGCGCTCGGGGTGGCACGCTCGCGCGAACCCGGAGGGTCGCTCGACGGAGAAAGGAGCAGACGGGATCATTATGCTCGCGCTCGGGCTTTTTATTGGCATTAAAAGCGGAGTTCGTGCTCGGACGTTCGCGCGGCCGATTCGCGAGCGAAACGCTTCGCCCGAAATAAGCCTCGTAAAGCGCGCACCCTCTCCCACCCCCTACCCCCTTCGACGCCCGTTCCCGCGAGCCCTTAACCCTCCGCGCCGCGGTGCGCGCCGCTGCGGGGGATAAAAATGGAACGCGCGACGTATAATTTCGCTGATCGCGCAAGCCACTTGGAACGCGATTGGCTCGTCGCGGACCGTCGAGACTGCCTTCCGTTGTACTT